AATAGAAGATGCCTTATTTGGCTGTTAATAGATAAAAAAAAATTTTCAAATTTTTTTCATTCTCGGCGTAAATTTAATTAGCTTGAATAATTACATTAGTACGATTATACTTCAATTGCAGAAAAGAATTTTCAAAGTTGTAAAAACAATTTAAAAAATAGTATTGAAAAAATCAATAAAATAGACGATTACTATTAGATGATGACTATATAGGATATTCATAATGACTAATTGTATGTTTTTAGGTAATTACTAATTGTATAATTTTTTATGTATTTTTTTTCAAAAAAGATTATATAAAATATGACGCATTTTATAAAATTGATTAACTGCGCATTATTACATTTTGTTATTATTGTATGGCTACAACAAAGAAATATAAAAAATGAATTAAAATAAATTTAAAGAAATTAGGGCTCTCAAGAATGAATCAGCAATAATGAAGTAACGCCAATATGAGTCGACACAGATGTTGGGGTATAATAATTTTTATTGTTATAATATCCATCCATACACAAACTGCACACCGCATATGTGTTGGTCTTGAAACACAGTTCTTATATACAACACATGAAGCCAGAAACGTGCATTGTAACGAATTAAATTGGCAAGCAATTTAATATTGTCTAGCAAGGAGATCTGGGTTCGATTCCCGGCTGATATTTATTTTTGTAATAAATTTCATTACATGTTTGGGAGGATGAAATTCTTTTATTGATGCTTATTTAGCATTAAAAATATTAAATTGCTTGTAAATTTAATTCGTTACAGTGGATTTCAGCTTCATGTAAGAACTGAATTTCAAGACCGACAAAAATACGGCGCAATTGGTGCGTAACTGGATATTGTTATTAACAATAAAAATTATTACCAATATCTGTCAGCTCATATTGGCGTTACTTCATTATTGCTGATTTATTCTTGAGAGCCCTAATTATGTTTTTTGTTGTATCCATAAACAATGACAAAATGTAATAATGCGGATAATCAATTTTATAAAATTAGACATCCTATATCCATATGATTTATATGTCACGCAGTGATTATAGACTCAGAAGAGTAAAAGATATTCTTTTGCTCTATAAATTCAAATCCTTGATTTTAGTCGTAAGACGCATCCAGGTGTATAAAAATACTATAAATCTGTCTGTGAAAGAAGCCGCATTCTCTTGACTTTCTAAATTTGTTCTAAAAATATCAATTAGCAATATCCAATTTATATTTGAAATACGTTATTCTATATATGTAGATATTTATATTTTGAAAATGTTTAGCGAGTTAATTTATCTCCACTTAAGGCGAACAATAAATAAAAGGCGTGAAATAGGTTTCTTTTACTCCATTTCAAAATGGTTTTTTTTTATTAATGATCCATAATTATATTTATTTAGCTTTCTTGCTCTTAATCTTCCTCATATAAAATTCAAGCTCTTTGCCCTCGAGCATGTAACCGTCAGCTCTACCGCATTGACCAGGCCTGCTTGCTATACAAGCTGAAAGTAAAATAAGTCGCTTATTAAAATTATTAATTTCTAAATCACACGAAGTTCGAAATATGTATGCAGTGTAAGACAATAAAGAGTACTTTATGGTTGATTCAAACATTTTCTTTTCAAAAGATGATTTAAAACGAATCATTGATTTATTCAAAAACATAGTAAATTCAAAGAATTAAAACAATAAAAATTGTTCAATACCAAGAACACGTCCTGTTGCAAATTGTTCTTCCAAGGCAGGTTCAACCTTGGCAAATCGCTGTCTAGCCTTGTATTTGGATTCCGCTTTTTTAGAACGCTTCTTGTTTAGCACTTCCTCTTCAGCCTCCGTCTAAGAAAAACAATTATGCTCCATTTATATCATACATATATATATATATATATATATATACACATACATATATATTTAAATTCAATTACATCTAAATACACACCAGTTTAGCGCCCCTTTTGCGACCCAATGGCAGTACGTAATGACCTTCATACCACTGCCTGAACGGCGTAGCGTCGATGGTGACAATGGCGTTCTTCACCAGCGTTTTGGTTCGCACCAGCTCATTGTTCGATGCATTGTAAACAACGTCGATAATACGAGTCTTTCTGGTGCTGCACTCAGAACCCCAGGAAAAATTTCCAGTGTCCAATCTAAGTGCTCTGTACTTTTTATTACCTCCACGTGTACGAACCTAGTATACACGTCAAAATAGATACATTTATATAACTGATTTCACCATACATTAAATGTATGTGTTTATAAAATATAGGATCAGATCGCTGTGAGATTAATATTAATCATGGCACTCAGAGTAGGTAAGGATATCATCACTTCATAACTTCATAAATAGTGAATTATCAAAAATATTTTCTTATAATTGTAACAATATATAAATAACATCATTGACACTAACAAAAATCAATAGCAATTAACTATAATTCTATTTTTCATGGTATATAAATATTTTTATCTTTTAATCTATCTATTAACTAATATCTATTAACTATTTACTTTTACAATTCAATCATGGAGAAAATTAATGTAGAGCTTACAGTATGAATCCGCTGTGGACCAAGCTTGGTGTTTGCAGCCGGACGTCCCAACTCAAACTTCCTCTTCTTGCGGATGGGTTTCCTCTTTCCGCCAGTGGCTCTCCGCTTATGCCAGTGATCCCGAGAGATACCTACAATGCAATATTGATGAGCAACTTGGTAACTTTAAACTTGTTAACGTAGACTCGTTAGAGAAAAAATTTGTTGAAGTTAACCTAATCAAACAATATACGTCGACACCACATTTTCCTTTCTACACAGATTACAGATGCTAATAAATGCACGAATGATCTGCGATATATATGTATATATACTACAGCACGACGTTCGCTGTTAAATAAAAGTAAAATACGAATCACGAAATCGTCACGCGTTCGGCACAACTATGCTCGATGTCGACGAGTGACGAATCAGTTTCCACGAAGCCAGGGCAAAAATACGAAAATAATATTTTCCGTCGACAAAAGAACGATGTCCGCTTTGCGCACCGATTGCATCTTATCGCGATATCGCGGCGAAAAAGCATGGATTGGTAACGATGAAAATTAATTTTAGCAAAACCGTGCTACTCACCCATCTTACCGCGATGCAGAAAGAACCCAAACTCTCGGAATACTAGAGACACCACCGTCGATCTAAAAGAGACCACCGCAACAGGAACGCCCTCACTGCTTTCACAAGTTGATCCATGCAGTGCACACCTGTTCGCGCTCACATATTTGTCCATATGTTGTGTGTTGTCCCATTTTTAACATAATTTTTCGGTGTTTATTTTTTATTTAATTTAATATTCTTGGCAATTATTTAATTTCATTCTTATTGAATAATGCGGCATAAAATTTCTTTATTATAGTGCGGACAGAATTAATTTTCTATTATATTATATACATATATACATACAATATTGGATACAAAGGACTATATCAAGAATAATTTATACACCTAGAAATTATGCTTTTATATAATTCTGCCGTTTGATTTAATCATTCTAATTAACTTATGGGAGTTTGATCGAAATTGCCACCACGGTCGCGAGAGTTTTGAGGTGTCCATTGTGCATGAATATTAATTATTTCATTTATTTCGTCGGTATTCGCATATCCATATTAGAGTCCTAGATTATCAGAGAAGCGCGACCGGCTTATGGCAGTATCGCAAAAGTACTAGAAAATATTAAAAATGGCGTCGAATAGCCAATCATAAGTTTGATTTATTCGGCAGCCA